TTCCTGTCTTTTTTTTTGTGAATTTACCCCATTCTACCTCTACCTTTCTCCTACTCCCAGTATAATCCTCTCTCACCCCTTAAGTTTATTCATCAGATATCTTCATCTTCAACTCACCCTGTGATATCTATCTATCTATCTGTCTGTCTGTCTGTCTGTCTATCTATCTATCTATCTATCTATCTACATACATACAAATTTTTCTCTCCAACTACCCTAATACTGACAAGGGTCTCATGAGTTGCAGATATCATATTTCCATGCAGGAATGTAAACAGTTCAATCTTAATAAGTCCCTTATCATTTCTCTTTCCTGTTTACCTCTTCATGTTTCACTTGAGTCTTATATTTGAAAGTCCAATTTTCTATTCAGCTCTGGTCTTTTCATTAAGAATACTTGAAAGTCCTCTATTTCACTGAATGACCATTTTTCCCCTGAAGGACTATACTACATTTTGTTGGATAGATGATTCTTGGTCGTAATCCTATCTCCTTTGCCCTCTGGAATATTATATTCCATGCCCTGTAGTCCCTTAATGTAGAAGCTGCTAAATCTTGTGTTATCCTGATTGTGTTTCCGTAATACTTGAATTGTTTCTTTCTGGCTGCTTGTAATATTTTCTCCTTGACCTGGGAACTCTGGAATTTGGCTACAATATTCCTAAGAGTTTTCCTTTGGGGATCTCTTTCAGGAGGTGATCGGTGGATTCTTTCAATTTCTATTTTGCCCTCTGGTTCTAAAATACCAGAGCACTTGTCCTTGATAATTTCTTGAAAGATGATGTCTAGGCTCCTTTTTTTTTTTGATCATGGCTTTCAGATAGTCCAATAATTTTAAAATTCTCCCTCCTGGATCTATTTTCCAAGTCTGTTGTTTTTCCGATGGTATATTTCACATTGTTATCTATTTTTTCATTCTTTTGGATTTATTATACAGCTTCTTGATTTCTTGTGAAGTCACTAGCTTCCAATTGCTCTGTTCTAATTTTTAAGAAAGTATTTTTTTCAGTAATCTTTTGGACTTCCTTTTCCATTTGGCCAATTTTGCTTTTGAAGGTATTCTTCTCCTCACTGGCTTTTTGGACCTCTATTGTCATTTGGGTTAGGCTATTTTTTTTTTGTGGTTAGGCAATCAGGGTTAAGTGACTTGCCCAAGGTCACACAGCTAGTAAATGTCAAGTGTCTAGGCTAGGCTATTTTTTAAGGTGTTATTTTCATCAGTATTTTGGGGGGAGTTCTCCTTTAGCAAGCTGTTGACTTGTTTTTCATGATTTTCTTGCATCACTCTCATTTCTCTTCCCAATTTTTCCTCTATTTCTCTTACTTGCTTCTCAAAATCTTTTTGAGCTCTTCCATGGCCTGGGACCAATTCATATTTTTCTTGAAGGTTTTGGATGTAGGAGCTTTGACTTTGTTGTCTTCTTCTTGTTGTATGTTTTGATCTCCTTTGTCACCAAAGAAAGATTCTGTGGTCTGACTTTTTTTGCACTGTTTACTCATGATCCCAGCCAATTACTTGAGTTATAAACTCTTTGTTAAGGCAGGGGTCTGCTTCCAGTGTGGAGAATGTACTGTGCCAAATTTTGGAGGTTTTTGTGCAGCTGTTTTCAGAGAAACTTCTAGGGACCTGTAAATTTTCAGTTTTTCCAAGGTGATAAGATCACGGGCATGGTGTTTACTCCTTTCCTGGCCTGTGCTCTGGTCTATGAGTGACCATAAACACTCTTTTCTGCGTTGGCACTGTGAGGAGGATTCTCTCTTCACCGTCAATACAAGCCATGCCAGTGCTCCTCCTTGTCCCAAGACTGCCACCCAGAACTGTGACCCAGATCCAAGCATGGGCAAAGCAAGAGAATCCTGCCTCAGCACCAGCAAAAGATCCCTGCAATATACCTCTGATCAGCCCCTTGATTTCCCCTCAATCTGTGGGCTGAAAGCTCTGGAAGCAGCTGCTGCTCTGGGGTTGTACCATGCCTGAGTCTGGGACTGAGCTCCTCTCTCATCTGGGTCACAGACTTTTCCTAATGACCTTCTAAGTTCTCTTTGGTGTTCATGGGTTGAGAAATCTGGAAACCACCACAGCTTCCCTTGATTCAGTCCTCTGAGGCCTCCTCCAGCTTCGCTGAGGCCTGTTTTTAGCCTGTGCACACATTGAACTGTATTCCTCTCCCAGCACAGCACAATAAACCTTTCCAATCAACCACCCAGGTTGTCTTGGGCTGGAAATTTGCTTCACTCTGGCTTTTTGTGGGTCCTGCTGCTTTAGAATTTGTTTAGAGCCACTTTTTACAGGTATTTGGAGGGGCTTAGGGGAGAACTCAAGTAAACTACTGCTTTTACTCCAATATCTTGGCTCTGCCCCACAAACAGTATTTCTGATAAAGCCTCATTTCTAAAATATATAGAGGACTAATTCATTCCCTTAATTGATAAATGGTCAAAGGATATGAACAGTTTTCAGACGAAGAAAGTAAAGCTATCTATAGTCAAATAAAAAAAATACTTTAAATCACTATTGATGAGAGAAGTGCAAATTAAAACAACTCTGAGGTACCACCTCACACCTATCAGATTGACTAATATGACATAAAAGGAAAATGATAAATGTTGAAGAAGATGTGGAAAAATTGGAACACTAATGCGTTGTTGGTGGAGCTATGAATGATCTAACCATTTTGGAGAGCAATTTGGAATGATGCCCAAAAAGCAATCAATCTGTGTATAACCTTTGATCCAACAATACCACTACTATGTCTATTTTCCAGATTGGTCATAAAAAGGGGGAAAGAACCCACATGTACAAAAATACTTATAGCAGCTCTTTCTGTTGTGGTGAAGAAGTATAAAATTGAGAGGTTGCCCATCAGTTGAAGAATGGTTGAACAAGTTGTGGTATGTGAATGTAATGGAATACTATTGCACTATAAGAAGTAATGAGCAGGCAGATTTCAGAAGAAAACCTAGAAAAACTTATATGAACTGATGCTGAGTGAAGTGAGCAGAACCAGGAGAACCTTTTACACAGTAACAGCAACACTGTGTGATGATCAGCTATGATTGACTTAGCTCTTCTCATCAATATGATGACCTAAGATAATTCTAAAAGACTCATGATGGAAAATACTGTCCACAGTCAGAAAAAGAACTGTGGAGTCTGAATGCAGATTGAAGCATACTATTTTCACTTTTTTTTCTTTCTTATAGTTTTTCCCTTTTGTTCTTATTCTTCTATCACGACATGACTAATGTGGAAATATGTTTAATATGATTGTACATGTATAGCCTATATGAGATTGCTGTCTTGAATAGGAGAGAAGGGAGGGAGGAGAGAAGAAAAAATTTGGAACTAAAAATATTATAAAATTGAATGTTAAAAATTCTCTTTGCGTGTAATTGGAAAAAAAATAAAATACTATTAAGTGGAAAAATATTGGGTAGACTTCTTGTGGAGGATTGATAAAGGGTCATTGACAACAGTTGCACAGGTTGAGCTGGTGTGGATGGGTAGCAGTCTTCATTGATGGAGAATATATCTCTAGAAATGAGATGATGAAACCAGGTTGTGAAGAGTCTTGAATATCGGATTATGTATTTTCAACTTTAACTCACATTATTTTTTCAGGTTCTTTTTATATAATTCCAAGCCTGACAGTTAACCAAGAACAAATTTCAAGAATTCGGAAAAGGGGTCTGTGGAGTCAGGGTGTGGGGCATTTGTACATGAAGAAATCGTGAGATCATTGAGTGATTGGTTTTGGGTGGGTGGACGGGTAAAATGGAGAATAACATTGATAGGAGGGTATTTTGCAGATTTGCTCAGAACTGAATTGGTTGCTGTTTTTCAGTTGCATCTGTCTCACTGTGACTCCCTGGATCAGAGCTCACTAATACTGTCCACAAAGTTTTCTTAGCAAAGATATTGAAGTGGTTTGCCATTTCCTTCTCAGTGAATTAAGGCAAACAAAGGTTAAGTGACTTGCCTAGGGTCACAGAGCTAAATGTCTGAGGATAGATTTGAACTCAAGTCTTCCTGACTCCAGGCCTAGCACACTATCCACTGATCTATCTAGATGCCTTGTGGTATTAGTAGTAAATATAATTCAGATACAGTTCTTCAGACATGGACTTTCATGAAGACTCCATGAGGAAAAATAGTTTATGTTACATTGTTCTCACCAAAATACTTGCTTGAGTTGAAAGTTAATCAAGAGACTGGTCAGATTCTTAATTAACCTAATCCTGTGCAGTTTCTTCTAGGGTTTCTGTGCTGGAAAGCCAAAATCTATTACTGAGATTTTCTCTGTGCGCATATTCTCTCTCTCTCTCTCTCTCTCTCTCTCTCTCTCTCTCTCTCTCTCTCTCTCTCTCTCTCTCTCTCCCTCTCTCTCTCTCTCTCTCTCTCTCTCTCTCTCTCTCTCTCTCTCTCTTTCTCTCTCTCTCTCTCTTTTTCTTTCTTTATATATGTATATATATATATATATATACATACATACATATATATACACATACATATACACACAAATATATATGCATATGTGTGTATGTATATATTTCTGTGTGTAAATATATATATATATATATGTTTTATTTGAAATGAGATTATTTCAAGCATCATCCAAGTAATATTGTATAACAAACATACATATGTACACACACACACACACACACACACATACACACACACGAGAGTTGAATGCATGTATTTGAAGCCCACTGAAGTGTTACACTTTAGGTAACTTTAAAAAAGTAATATCCTACTAAACCTCCTTTGGGTATTGCTGAAGCACTCAGGTGACTTGAATTAATTTAGTTTAAAACACCAGAAGGATTCATAACTATGATTCCATAATTAACTAGGGGATAATTAAGTCTATCCCCAGTGACAGAGATTTGCCCCTACATGTAATGTGTATAAAGCATGCAAATGCTCATTATTTCTAGTAGGAAATCATCTTCTAGGAGTGACATCTGAAAATCTTTGTCTTCTTTTTTTCCTTTAGCTTTGCACCTTGTGATGAAGCCCATGTTTATGGATGACAGAATCCAAAATCAACAAGGTTTTATGGCATGCCTTCCAAGTTAAACTTAATACTGATTATATATGTACCTAGGTATAGCTGTTTTTTTTTTCCCAATGTTTGTCCTGTAATTTCCTTGCCAGCATTATATCAGATATGTATCTGGGTGTATATGTATGCATGTGAGAGGCAATGTACCTCAATGTGATCAACTTTCAAGTCCCTCCTCTGATAAATATTAGTTGTATTTGTCTGACTAAATCATTTAGTCTCTAAATGCCCTAGACAACTTTTAAGGCTATGTATTATGAACCTGATCTGCCCTGATGGAGAGAGGGAATTGCCTTGTTAGAGAATTCCCCAAACCATTGAAATTGCAATGGTTTTCTCCTACCCCCAAAAAAAGATTGCAGGAAAAAAATTTAAATGGTATATATTCATATATGTATATATTTTTTACTTGAAATGGTGATATTATTTTAAGCATCATCTCTTTCAAGTAACATTGTATAACAAACGTACACATACACAGGAGCGTGCAAAGAGGTATGTATATATTCAGCCCAAGTTTTTGTGTGCACATGTATATATGTGGTCTTGCCTTCCTCCTCTTCTCTCCTTTCCTTAGCACAGGATCCTAGAGGTAGAGCTGGACATAACACCATAGGCCATCTACTTGCCACTCACTTATTTTACAAATGAGTGGCACAGGGTGATTATTGACTTGTCCAATGTTACACAAGCCATAAGTATCAGGCAGGGCCTCTGTCTTCAGAATCAGTGATTTTCTCCTTAACTTCTAGTGTTAAAAGTCAGTAAGACTGAATTTGTGTTCAAAATGAAGTGGAAAATAAGGCAAATAGGAGAATAATTGAGGCCAAAAAAATCCCCTAAGCATGCCTTAACTATTTTGATATTATGATGAAAGGAGATTCGTTTTCAACTATATCTCCTATATAGTTGTTTTAGCTCACCCCTACTTTTGTTTTAATCAGTCCCTTTCAATAAAATGATTGAATCTCTGGCCTTGCATAGACACAACTTTTTTTTTTTTCCAGAGACATCAGAAACACATTATACCAACCTAGCAAAAATATCTTGGGTCTTTGTCAAGTTGCAGGTATAATTTCTGTGGCTCGTGAAATTCCACAAAAGCAAACACGCACGTTTTCTGTGAGCACGACAGCAGTTTGTCAACAGTGATGTATATCACTGCTAAAAAAGTGGGCCAGACGGGCCTCCTCAGTCAGGTCAGTGGCACTAAAATGATGGGAAAAATCCTCTTTATTGAGACATAGGAAAGGAGGAGTTCTGGGCAATTGGAAAATGTCACAATTGGTTACAGCTGAGGAAGGTGCGTTGACCTTTAGGTATGGATAATCACTTCCCTCTCTGATGATTAAGAAATGGTAACTGTTTTTAATATTCAACTGCCTCTTATAATTTTGACTAGAAATCAGAGCCTCTTAAATGAAGACCACCTGGTTAGTCACCCCTTGGATGTCATCAAACTACCCCTAGTTTCACTGGGAGAAAAAAGAGCAGAAGGGTCGTCTTTTGGGAAGTGGCTCAACCTAAATAGTTTTTTATTTACAGGCAATGATACAGATATCCCAGTTAAACTGGTTAGAGGCATACCAACAACAAAACATGACCCAGGGGCTAGCTGTGCACAGACTGCGTTTTTGAGCTTACCTGATAAATGGGGCTTGACAAAATGGGGAATAGATTTATTTACAGAGAAATAAATTACTAAATGATAACAGCATAATTTTAATTTTCTCATATATATTTACCAAAATAAAAACCTCTACTACTAAAACTTTGATTGATTTGTTAGAATACTGGTTATTAGAGGAAGAGGCATGTTTAAGAGCTTCAATGCCATGCTAACTTGATTCTTAATTGTTATGAAAATTAAGGAAAACCTTTTAAAATTAGTTTTTATGAAAATGAGTGGGAAGTTATGTTTATAGTTATTGGAAGTTGGTGGAATAACTATAAATTGATTAACAGAAGAGGTTTTACATGGAAACATTTGTGTTTTAGATGAAAACATTTGCTGAGTAGTGAGAGGTGAAAGTTTTGCATGATCCGTCCTACTTTACCACAAGAGTTGAAAATGTTACTCATTTATGAGCTGCTAACTGATACAATGACTTTCCAGTATCTCTAAAGAGTGGAATCATGGTGCATTGGATAGAAGGCTAGCATTGGGGTCAGAAAGACCTGGGACCAAGTCTTGACCATAGTGCATCCTGCCTATTTTTAGAAAAAAATAAATCAATTAATCTCTGAGTAACCCATGTAGCTTTCTAATCTGTAAGTGCCAGTTGATTTCTTATACTGAGGCCAATGAAATCACAGGTACAGACCAAAAAAAAGTACAAGTACATAATAAAGGATATAGGAATGGGAAATATTGAACTAAACAGCAAATGAGTAGATAGCTCTCTTCTGAGTATCAATACTATATCATCAACTGCCTGTTGGACAACTCACATGTTCTAGGGGCAGTTAACACTCAGCATGTCTCAAACAGAACCCCATCATCTTTTCCCATAAACTCATCTCTTTCCCTAACTTCTCCACCAATCAATCAATCTACATGAATTAATTAAGCACCTATATTGTGTCAAACACTGTGCTAGGTACTAAAGATGCAAATTTGAAGAATGAAAGAACCTCAATTTGTAGTGAGTTTCTATGGCAATCTAGAGGTGTTTACTAGGTTCTAGAGACATGATGCAGCAGAGGGATTAGAGAACTGTCCTCAAAATCTAGAAGACCTGGGTTTAAGACCTATCTCTGCTTCATAGTAACTGTGTGATTATAAGCATGTAACAACTTCTCAGCCTCTAGGAACCTCTCTGACTATAAATTACTATAATAATGTCAAGTTAAATTGGTCTTCTACCAAATTTCCTCACCTGGGAAGCTTTCTATATCAATGAAATCTGATTTCTGTTCTCTTACGATATTATAGGTCTTGTCTTAAGTGCTGGGAATAGGAAGAAAGGCAAAAATAGCTTTGGCCCTCAAGAAATTTACATCCTGAGTTGTATCGTGCAAATAATTAGGTACATATTAAATAGACAGACTAAACGGAAGATCATCATAGCAGGGAAGCTTTCCTACAGAAGATTGCATTGGAGGTGAAACATGAAGGAAGTTAAATGAGTTGGTGAGGAGATGAGGAGGCAGAGCATTCTAAGAACAAGGGACAGCTAATGAGAAAGCACAGGGCTGGGAAATGGAAAAGCCATGCATCAGTGTAAGGAACCGCAAGTATACCAGTATGGATGGGTCATAGAATACTCAGCAGGGAGAGCAAAGGGTCTGAGAGACTTATTGATATTAGCAGCATGAATTCATCATGTACAAATCAGAATAATTTTGTGATGTCCTCTGATAGCATAATCCACCAATAATTTATAAATTTGCTCCTAAAATTAAACACACATACATATGCTTGATGAAGACTTTAAAAAGGGGATATTTTCAAGATGGTGTATAATAATATGACAAATCCCTGAATCTTTCAGTCACCAAAAGCTCTCTGTTTTCATTAAGGATTTTTTTTTTATTTTCTAGCATCATGGCCAGATATCTGTGTACTCCAATACTGAACTTTCTGCTAATGCAAGAGTCTTCTACTGAAAAAAATAGAGGATAATAACTTGAGAACATCATCTGCATTCATCATAAATGGTTAATAGTTTGCATCTTCCTAGGTACTTTTTGAGACTCAGAGACATAATTACCAAGACATTATAATTTGCCAGATCTTTGATGATTTTAGTAAGGCAGGAAATCTGCACACAGGAATTCTGCAGTGCCTTAATTATTTGTTTCCTGAGACATCATTGGAATCATACCTCCATTACACCTAATGGGGACAGTGCTATTCACATGTAAATGGCTAGGATAATAGTAAATATACATAATGTTCCAAAGTAATGGGTTAAATTACAAAGGGACAATGAATTCCAATGACAGAAATAGGAAGGAAAAAAATCTTATCAATAACTTATGGCCTCATTGAGCATATTTGAGGTGGTTTTTTACAGTTCTATGCTCTTCTTGTTTAATGTGTGGTTTAGACATTTTGAGGAAGGAATCTAATCACAAAAGTGCCCAAAGTGCTTTTAATGACAAAGACCACACTGTTAGAAAGCTCATAATTCTGAGCAATCCAAGCCTAATGCACTACTTACTCTTCTGATATTTATATCATCTCTTTCTATAATACTTTTTTTTTCAGTGAGTGAAACTTGTGTAATGATAAGAGACAAGATGACTTGAAGGTCTGATTGGGTCAGATAAACTGGCTCAGTCCCTTGGCTGATCATGTTCTTTGCATGATGCGCTTTGAAAGTCTGGCCAGACTTTTCCTCAGACAGAAAGGTCCCACAGAACAAACAAAATATTTCTTTCCTTCCCTTTACATTACTTTATGAACTTCTGTGGTTTATATACTTTGCTGAAATTTATTTTCAATGGCCAATTATTGTTCAAATTTCCATTTAAAGATACTTATCATATCCTTGTTTAAGTCAATCAATCAATAAGGATTTAGGAATTACCTACTATGTTACAGGAATTATGATGCCAGCGCACCAAATGCCTTTCAACAGCAAGAGATTCCGCTAATCACACCAGCTTTAGCCATTCACTATATGGCAAAAGCAGAGAGTGGTAGAGCAAAGCTCTCCTCCTTTCAAAAACTCAGATTTGCTTCAAAGCATGGCATAAATGCGGGGCTGTTTGCTATACGTTCTGTAGCAGTGGTTTCCATATGTTTTTATTCTGTGAACAGATTTGTTGCAGCAATGGGGTAGTAGTCCTTCACATATACATGTATATATGTAAATGTATGTATACGTAAGTATGTGAGTGTATATGTATGTGTGTATACCTCCTCTACCATCAAAACATTTGTCCATTCCTTCAATTCAATAGGAACCAACTTTCTATTAGTTGAAAGAGGTTATAATGGGCTATATTATGTTAATATATGCTAAATGCTTTCAATAGAATCTTGGCATTTACCACCATCCTGTCTCCATTAATTTGTACTGACTCTTCCCAATACTGGAATTCTCTCCTTTCTCACCACCACGTCTTGGAATCCATGATTTCCTCCAAGTCTCAGCTCAAATGCCATCAAGCACAAGACAATTTTTCTGGTTCCCCAAGATAGTAATGCCTCCTTCTACCTTACTTAGTTTTACTTTGTGTATACTCACACATATACGTATTCATATATATTGTTT